TCTCTCTAGTTTAATCTGAGAAATAAAATATCATACAAACGAATTTCATTGATTAGAAATTTATAAGGTTTATTGGTACAGTGAAAGTAATTATCAAAGTCTCAACAAATAAACTTTTGACTTCATCTAACGCATTGTTATGTAGATGGGAATATATTTATGAAATTGGATATAATATTATCAACAAAAGATTATAGTTTGTACCAATGTTTTATCAACTATTGAAGTAACAGAAGATGAAGGATTTCTAATAATTATTTCTTCCTAGTCAATGACTCTCCGACATTACAATAACAACAAATTACACCAGCTTTATAATCTTTATATCTGTAGGCTAGAACCTTACTTGTTAACTAACTGGTAAGAATTCAGCATACATATAAAGGTCCTTAGTTTAATACAAGTGCTGAATGTGCCAAATCATCATAACACTCCACTATTATATATATATATATACATGAAAAAAATGTTTCATGATTCTAGTGATTTACTGTTACATTCGGAGAGTGAACTTAGGACTGTAGTTACATAATATCTCTCTAGTAGATATATTTCGAAAAACATTTGAGATCTTATAACAAAATCACTAAATATAAAATGCATTTCATTTGTAGCTTATCGATCATTTGAATATATGTAGAAACTAAAAGTATATACGAATTTAGATCTAAATCAACAGACTCAAACGTAAATTTCCTACAAATGAGGCGAAATTTCAAGATTTGTGAAACTGGTTAGGTATTCAGATAGTTTTCGTTATTATTAGAAGTTTGTATTTTCGAATGGGTGAGGAACAAAACAAGACTGTTTTTGCTGACACTTCTACATTAAATGATAATAAAGAAAAGCCCATATATTAGGTACGTCGGTATGAGCCAAGCCCCAGGTTTTAGGGCTAATGGCACTACTCGGCTGCCTAGACAGAAAAGGAATGAGGTTCGGATCTGGAACCTAATGGTTGAAAGCCAAACGCTTTAGCTACTAAGCCTACAGAACCTATAGCAATCTTATCTTATAAGCAATAACTTAATAAAAGTTCTGCATGAAGTAATTTCGCGTTGTCGAGTGAATGAATCTGTAAAGACAACATATATGTAGATTAGATTTACTGTCTGTAAAGGCAATTCCCCGATCTCATTCTGAAGTAAATTTGATGCTGGGTGATTTACTGGTTAGTTTCTCTAAAATTGAGTGATGTATGTCACACCTTAATACCACAAACGTATCATCAATGTACCTTAGCCAAACGTTTGGTCTAAATATGCATTAGAAATACATTTCCGTTAATTGTATTCATGAATAGGTTTGCAACCATAGGTGATGCAGGTGAGCTTATTGCTACTCCACTGGTTTGTTGATAATAAATAGCGATGGGCTTACCTTCATCACCTATAGTTGCGTATCCATTCATAAACAGGCTTAAAGAAAATGCCCCACTAGAACAACCGACCTCAAGTGTATTAAAGACGTTCAGATAATAAAAGTAACCGATAAATTCATAAAGGTTGGGTGTGCGCATCTTTGTGGAATTGAAACGAAATAGAAATTAAAGTGAATTCATTATTTAGGAAAAATAGTATGTGAAGTCATGACCTTGAATTATGATATTATCCATTCTACTAAAGTCACAAACTGACCGAAAAGCTAGCATTTTCATCACAAGTATCCTTAATTCCTATAATATTTTGACATGCTGTATTAAGCAAATGTCAGAAATGGTATTATTTGATCACCAGATTTGTGTGTAATAAACAGAAATCAAACTGTAACTATGGTTAACATAGATCTTATAATACAAGGAAGTCCAAAATCCAATTACACCAATAAAGTAACCACTAAGGAACTATTTGATATTTAGTTGCCACTATATTTTAAAAAAAAGATTTATCTACTACTTTGTAGAACGTAGTTTACATCGACCAGTTTATGACAATAATTTATATGCGCTTTCATTAGTTATTTTGTATCGTAAACAATGTAGAAAAATTACGAAACATACCTGATCAAATGTATATTCAGCAGAAAGTTATGGTATACAAAGTTTAGTAAATAAATCATCCATACAAAAACATACTTCTAGTAAGTACATAGAAACACGAATAAATTACCCTAACTTATTAATCTTAAGGCAACGGTCCCGGTTACAAATATGCTCTCGTGTACATAGAGGATGCAGTAACCAATAGGAGCCAACAAAACTGCTTATTTATGTACTACAAGTTTAAATAAAAATTGTAGACAGATATAAGTCACTTAATTAAACTTATTCACTGCGTCATCTCACATGCCGAGTGGGACGTAACAAAATATTCATGTCTCAACAGGAGGTCATAAATTTGGAGAGAAAACTGTCATCTAGTGTCTGCAAATTGCATGTCTTTACAACCAGTGTTACAGTTCATCACACAAAACAGCTACTTTTAATTCATTTGTGACCATGTATTGTAGCTTTCTAAGCTCTTCGTAATAATTTGCGCAGAACGTCCTAAGAATTACTAACACAATACCATTCCAAATAAAAAATTGAACATTAAGTAACCCTGGAGTTAGCTATGGTACGTATATGACCGGGATGTAAGACTCTGCTTACGTCCACTAACCGAGTCTTCACATACCATCAAATCCATAGATACAAGTTAGTTTCTATCCAAGTTTCCATGGCTTTCAGTACGCCACACTAATTCTAATGAGGGAGTACATAGGCGATTGACTCCAAAACAACTCGAGATTTAGTTCACGAAACATCTTTGAGTGGAACTACTCATTACTACAGATCTATATGACACTCATGTCTTAAATCTTCCTCAGCTGAAATCTCACAGTTCGTTTGAAACCTAGGCTTTCTACAAATAACAACCTCTAAGTTCTTTGTTTATTAGACCTACCAAGGGAAACTTTTCGAGTTAGCATAATCTACCAGTCATACAGCAAATAAAGGAGCTGATTTTGATTTAATCTCAAGCACATGGGTTAACACATCTCCATCAATAATAGCGATGAAATCTTGACTAGATGAGCTAATTAATGATCATTCTTCTGACAGTACGAATATTATAAGCTCAACTATGAGCTATATGGATAATCTTATCATTTGTATAACAATACACACAATGTGTTAACTAAACACTATTTCTGCTTTATATTTCACAAATGGGTTTAAGATAGCTAACCGTTAATAATAATTCACAAGAGACCATCTAGCTTGAGCTCAATCATAAACATTTCAACGGATTCCCTTTCTGTGTAATTAATTCCAATTCTCCAACCCAACTAGAAAATATGAACCTATGTATATTTGGATTCCTATGTTTCATCAAGTTTTAAATCACTATTTATCCACACTGGGCTAAGAAACCAGTTAAAAAGTTGATCAGCGTGCAGAAAGATTCACGACTTGTGGCCAAATCCGGAGACATATGATTAAAAATTAGTTGTATTCATCCTCCATCTATGTCTTAAAATTGTATAACTTTTTTAAATGTCACCTCTTGACTTTACACTATACCAGTTAACCCCATCTCGGAAGTTCCTAATAATGCTGCTCTTATTCTCGACCCCAAGAATCTTCTTTTATGACCAACTGGAAGCCTACTTTACATTGCACTAATTACTTAAAGGTGCTAAAAAGAGGCTAATAATCGGCCAGTCCATAAATAAACTGTCCTTTATAGAGAAAATCCCCGAAATGATAGGAACAAGTTTCTAACTCAGACCATATAACCTTGAATCACTTGTATGTAGTCGAAATCCATCATTTCTCCAAACAGCTAGACCTCATGATTAGAACATTAAGACAGTGAATACCCGAGATTTTTATGCAGTTCCGTTGAAAATACTCTAGTATTCACTAATCATGTTGGTTTAAAAATGTGATGTGAAATTACTTTACATGTCGTTAATGATGCTACTGGAAAGCATAACTGAAGTGTAAAAAAAGGTGCATTTCCTTGCTTGAACTTTATTCGATAATTTTTACGTCATTTGCGTACATGCGACAGAGACTTATAGACGAACTAAAGGACAGAAAACACTTCTGAATGTTTAAAGCCGATCGGTTCACAGAACACAACAATCAAGCATGTAAATAACTGTTAGAAAGCCGAAGATGCAACGAATATATAAAAGTTCATTGAAGAAATTGTCTCCTTAATCAGGACGGAACTAGGACCATAAGTCAGTAACATGTTTGCGTTAGGCTCAAAGACATACTACCCTGCAGTTACATTTAACCATTCGAAACAATCTTAGAGCAATAAACGCGAGTCAGCGTTTTTGATTGTATAACTCAGGATCGTTTGCGACAACACAGGTGCACTCACTATCTTTCTTTAGTACATGAATCCTGATGCCGGATACCTTTTTTTTCTACGACTAATCCTTCCTACAACTACTGATATTGCGCCTACGTCTACCACTCTAGGATTTGTTTTGATAATCTTGTGCATGTGCCATCAGAATGTGTCAACTTGAGATTACGCAAGTGTCAAGCTCTACGTTGTATATGACTGACTTTAACACTACCCCACAACTATATCCTCTTAACTCGTTTGCAATAAAACCGTCACTTGAAGGTTAAAAAACTAATAGTAACAAGGAGAACCCACTGTTTCCGCACTTCGACAAAATATGTGACTACTGTATTTATCTATACTAGTTCATATAGACCATTAAGATACGTTATTCCATGATCAGCCTACGATCCCGCAAAAACATCTCTGTAGATGCGCATTGACAGGCAACTTTGATGCACGAAGCTAGGAGTTCGGACTAACTAATGTATGAGAGCTGCTATACGAATTAATCACTATGACAAGAATACTATCACTGATCATTTTGGTTACCGTAATTCATCTAAAAAATCTAAAGGTGAAAATATGAGTACAGTATATTGCACTGGATACTTCAATGCATAAATTTTTAAAACAAATATTAACAAAATGTACGTAGAGGAAAATAAGATGCGTATAACAATGTTACATAATATTCTTAGTGTACACTGCTTAGAAAATGAAACAACTACACCAGTCTTTAAGGGCAGTGTAACAATCTCCGGACTGTTTTGAATTAGCACCACATGTTTGTGAAAGCCATTCCTTGAATAACTCTTCTTCGCACCTCAAAAGAAGAAACTGTCCCAGGACGACATACGCTTTGTCATACCCTTTAGCTTTGAGTCTTTCTCCAAGTTTTTCACCGATTCCTGGTAACTCTTCTACAACCTTTTCAGAAATGGGTTCTGAAACAAAACTGCGGTGTTTTTGGGATGTTGTCATTGATAAGTTATTTAAATTCGCAGCTGCTTGTCGATTCAACGTTTCAATATTCACGCCTTTGCTAAGCTTGAAGTGAGATAATTCACTTATGTACTAAGTTCCAATTTTTTAACATACCATAACTTCAAGACTTTGAGGAATTAACGATTCTCGGCAGCTTCTAATATTCTCTTTCTTCGACTTTACGTGGACTAATTTAATTTTTCCGTGCTCTCATATACTCAAAGTCTAGTTAATGGATTTAGTTGCAGCTTCTTTTCAGTGGTTCTGAGAGTCTTTAAAATCAGGCCTTTGTGTATAAGGTAGATGCTTTGGTGATTTATCAGAACAGACTGGGGTGAATTTATCCGCAACGCAACCATGTAAACTTAATGTATCGCACAGGGTCATCTGTGCGTTCAAGTTACCATAGATTTTGTCATTTCATAATGTATCTTTAATTAAACAACTTGATTATGTATTTAATTTTTCTCTGTTCTTAATTTTTATCCGCCACGTCCGACTGCGTTACACTGTACGTTCATTGCACGCTGGGATTATATTTCAAGTTATAGTGAGTTTATTCACATAGTTGATTGTTTCCAGATAGACTGTCGGTGCATGATTTTACTGAAGAAAGGTTTGTTGTATTGTAAACTATGTTTCTATGAAAAACTGCCTGTTGTCTTCAGTATGAAGGCAGTATATATGTATCCTTTTTTTCTTAGGTAAGTTCAACTGGCCTATATTTCGTGTTTTGGTTTCATCGGCTTAATTATGTCCATTTAGCTACTTTGAGCAACATGTCTTTGCAAGTGAAACAATAACTATGACACTTGCCTAGTTTAGCGTTCTTGGTTGTCGTATAATTCAATTTAGTTGAAAGAAGAATGATATGCTTAAGTATAGTGCTTAAAGCCTATAGCGAAACGGATTAGTTCAGTAAGTAGAGATGTCTGTTTTTAGTGAGTATAGTGATTCAAATCAGTCTGATTAAAAATAGAGAAAAAAACGTGCCTTTGATGCTGTTGCTGTCATGTATTATAAGATAGCTTTAAATACGTTTGGTGTTTATTTGTAGACAGTACGTCTAACACTGTTCAAGTTTAAAGACCACTGTCATTAAACAATTTCCCCAGCAATAACATCGGTAGCAGGATAGCTAAGTGTCTGAGCTTTTATTTGCCTGCAGAAGAGCAGCATACAGTCTTAGAAGATGAGTGTTCTGTGTCTCAATTAAATGCAGCTGGCTGTGGACAAATTTTTTAGAATCTTTTTGACAACTGGGACTTTTAGTTTATCAGACACTAACTCTGCTTGTATGTCTTTCTGTTAAAGTAGACGCAGATGCATGGGAATACTTAAATGAGAGCAAAATAATAAGAGCATTGAGATACGGTACTAAGTCCTTGTTATGCTTTGCACAAGTAATAGTAGCTGACCTGATATAATATTCATGAACTCAAGGCAAATCACAACTGCATAAATTCTTTGCTAAAAATCATGTAATTTGGTCATTTATCTATTCCATATTTCTGACTAAATTTATTACTATTTTCTCATTTAGAGTGCACCGGGAGTGAGCCTTCACAGATCTTAAGAACTGTTCCGCCCTTAGAACTACGGCCTTATGAAACAGCAAGTTATAAAAAGGATGCTGGACGTCCATTTTAGTCTCACAACCACTTCCGCTACTTTTTGAGTTACTTTTTTTACCCTTTCGTTTGGAAAAAACAACAAAGACTGCAGCTTAATATTACCAGTGCAACTTTTAAACGGGGACTTCGTTCAAACTTTTGTTTGATATTCTATTCTTAATGAAAGTTCCTGAATAATTTTTTGAATCTAGTGCTACTTTGTTTTATCTACTTAATCGTTGCAAGAAACTTGTGATATACGAGCCTCTCAGCATCTAGTTCATATGTAGTAAATTTAATTGATTTAGTACATATCTTCGTCCTTTTCTTGGAAAACCTACAGACCCGGGTCCTCTCATAACTTATTCCAATTACCATGAGTTGTCACGGCAGCGGATGGATGGATACGCGTTACACATCCTAACCGTACCTGCGTCTTATCTTATAGCTTCTAATTCAAATGCCATATGACAAGCAAGCAATGCCCCTACCCGCACTAATGGAACACCAGTAACCCAAAGGCACCCTGTATGGTACCATACATTGGTCTACGCACTCGCATAGCTCTTTAGTGAGAATATTACTATAGTCCTGCCAAAAATTCCATGAACCCCCGTATCTCCATCAAAACAAATAAGTCCGTATTTGCTGCATATAGCAATTTTACTTTCCAGAACTAAGATACAACAGTTAGAATTGGAGTAAGATGACAGTATACAGCAAATGCACGTGGTACATGTCTTCATCGATTAACTGAAATAGAGAACACGGATATTAGCTTAACAGGTTTGTTTAGAAAGACTAGTGTCTACTTTGAACTTACTGCGTGAAAAAGTTATACTGGAACTACGAACAATGTAAGAATCTAGTCTCCCAGGGTGTACGAAGCACTCAAACTGGAAGACAGTTGTCCAGAAATAATTCGAATATGAAGGTGAAAACTTGCAGTTACTTTTCATCGTAAGGGTGAACATATTAGGTACCAGTTGACATCATACCGTAAAAAAACAAAAATTTGCGGGTGGTGAAATGCGATCTATAAAAAAGTGAGCTTAATAACAGTTAATAACCTTTTTACTCCCTGATTATGACCCTTCGGCTTCCTTTTTTGGCCAAAACAGCAAACATACACTACACACTGATAGCAGATTTCCGGTTTTTCAATGTTAAGCTTGCTTTAATGCACGACGCAATAAGTACAACCCCTCTATTACTGCTATACGGCATATTTTTCATAACAAACCCTATGCGATAGATTGGTAGCATCTGTGACTTCATCTATGGTTATTGGAAGTCTGAGTCCTTTCGAAAACAATAGTGATATCCTCTACTGCTGGGCACTCTGCAGCTACACAAAAGCAATAGCTCAAAAAAGCACAGAACGAAGAAAGCCGACCGCCATTGCTCACAGAGATGGTGGACATAATAATTCCCGCCTCATTCCGATTGGTTGCTGAGCTGCAGGCCACATTTACGAAATTGAGTTGTGTTTAATAGCAGCCACAGACTGACCAGCCTGTCACGAGCACGACTCATGTTCATTTTCGTAAACCATCTCTCACTAACTTCGAAATGTATAAATCTCAAAATCCGCTTCTGAATCATACCGTTCGGAATCGTAGGTCCTTGCAATTTATCCTGACATGTGGTTCGCTGATGTCTAAATTCAAATGAAAAGTGACGAATTAATTAGTCGTAACAGCATACACAACAAACCCGGTTTCTTAAGAACAAGTATATACGCTTGTCACATCAGTTCAATTTGAAATTCCAAATGTCGGAATATTCTAACTATCATTAAAGCGGTAAACAAATCATCAAAACGAATAATTCTGTAAGTCTGCGACACTTGATGCTGACCTCATTAGTGTTACTGAACACTCGTAGCTGAAGACGTTCCGTCACTCATCTGTACCTGATCACCAGTTGTTACGCCGTGTTACACATCCCTTGCAACTGCTAGTCAGCTTGAACCAGACACTTCTCGACATTTCAACAACCTTCTAAATATTTCTTCCAACCACTTCATCTCTGACTTCTGACTTGGTTGGTATACTTCCATTATTAGGGCGTCAAACTCCGACTATCTGTAGCACTTTAGTGGTGAGCCCAACGTAATTTGATACACCGAACAATAAACTGTGAGTCTATATCTTGATGAAACCTTAAGTATCATTCTTTGATTTTTATCTTTACATCAAGTGATATTGTTTTTATATTTTGCGGATATTTTATCCAACATATTTCTATACCTTACCTTCATTATGACGAAACAGACATCAAAGCTGTTTGCGAATGACTCTTTGGCCTCCTATTTTTAAGCTTATGCCATTCTGACCTGGTGATATCGAAGCCTGATTCTTCTACGCAGAAGTTGACTTCCTAGAGCACAGCGTGACAGACCCATGTGCACAAAACATCGCAATATTGGGGGAACTACGGCGCGATTCTAACAGGTACGGTACATCTAGTATATTCACTAGTAATGTTTATGAATCTCCTATCACTTTAAAGAAAGCTGTCATTCAACGTGGAGACCTAACGGACCAACAAAGGCTGAAACAGCTTTTGTACAACACCGAGTGGCAACGTGGCTCAGTAATAAAAATGTGACTACGCACGCGAGAGGTCATTGGTCAACGGACTTTCAGAGAGCTCCTGTTTGGTCAACTCTTCTTATCTAAGCATCTCCTAACAATGCGGGCGGTTTCTGTCCCGTTTCAAAAAAACTTCATAAGCCGACCGGATTCTGGAGATCAATAGGACCCCAGCGCCGAGATTTATTCTGTCAAAGAACACAAAATGACGCTGCGTACCTCTGTCATACTCTCATTTGTTATCTTGATGTTCATGATAAGCGTAGACGCACCAAGGACCTCATCACGTAAAAGATCTGTCTCTAGTCCACGAGAGACAGATAATCCTGACTAGCATTGGTACTACAACAAATATTATAAGTCTTTCAGAAATTTCAGTGAACCCTTCAGTTTTCCAGTCTCCAGGCCGTCCGACGCAAGAAACCTTTCGGGGATCTTCCCTGCCAGCACGCAATAACGGCGATCGTGCCCAGTGAACATACCGACCTATTTTACATCACTGACAAGAATGTGAAAGTTCGCTAATTAGTCGGTACTGGAGCAGAAGTAGCCGTTCTTTCCGCGAATTCCAATGACCATCTGCATGAACCAGTTTTCAACTTACTGAAGGCAAATGGGAAACCGATTGCCACATACGACAAGTGGAATGAGCATTTAAGCGTAGGTTTACGCAAACCTATTCACTGGATTTTCGTTTTTTTAGGTGTTTCTATGTCAGTCAGTGGTATAGACCTACTACAACACCATAAATAACTCGTCGACCCTTGGAAACAATGGTTAGTAGACGACAATACTATGTTATCTGTTTATGGGACTTTAATTTCTGGCTGTATATCGTACCCAGTAAATGTTTGGCATGTGACCAACCGATTCTACCAATGGATCCTCAGTAAGTAACACAAACTATTTCAAACGCAACTGAAGTTACCATCAAGTACTAGCGATATTACACACTACATCGCAGCCAGAGAACCACTTGTTCTTTCGAAAGCTTGCCGTCTACCTGGTGACTATCGGCGACTGAATACGATTGTTACCACTTGCGTACATCCTCGACCTGACAGTAACCAGAAATGGTACAACTGTTTTTCAGTCAAATCATATCAAGTTACCACTGCTTCAGACGATATTCCTTAGGCCACTAACGTTACCACCATCCGAACACTACAAATTTTTGAGCACGCCTTACCGTTTAGAGATATGCTTCACAGACTTTCAGCAATTCATCGACGATATTTCCAGGGTCTCAACTACGTACACATATCCGTAGATGACGGCTTGAGCATGTCCAAACAGAGAACCTCATATGCTGCATCCGTACTTTATTTTCGAACGACTGCGAAAACAGGGAATTACTGTAAACACTCAGAAGTGTCAAATCGGAAACGACTTTTTAGATTTTCTCAGACACACTACTGATGCTCGAGGAATCCACCCTCTGAAAAGCAAAGCACAGGCTGTTCTAGATTGTCCCGTCGACTGCATACACACATACGTAGATGATTGTTTGATCGGAATTTGATAACGCTTTTACACGTAACGCCTTAATAATGGAAGTATACCAACCAAGTCAGAAGTCAGGGATGAAGTTGTTGGAAGAAATATTTAGAAGTGCTTAGTTTAAGCTGACTAGCAGTTGAAAGAGATGTGTAACACGGCGTAACAACTGGTGATCAGGTACAGATGAGTGACGGAACGTCTTCAGCTACGAGTGTTCAGTAACACTAATGAGGTCAGCATCAAGTGTCGCAGACTTACAGAACTATTCGTTTTGATGATTTGTTTGCTACCGTATAATGACTAGACACGAAGAAGAGATTGTGCTGAGCTTAACTTTCATATTGTTCCACACACACTTCATTTCAAGACAAATTCTGACAAGTTTGTGGTGATGCAATTAAATAACTATTGTGAATCATATTTCAACGCAATATGTGGATTCGTGTTAACCAAAGTAAGAAACCATAGAAATTTAAGTCATAGAAAGTAGTGAGCTGAAAACTACCAGTCACTGTAAAGCTGCTGCTGCAATAGGCTATGGGCTGTTATGGTCGATTCGTAGGTCTTTCCAGTATTCGGATGATGAAACCTTTAGAGTATTATACCAACACTCATGAGACCACATTTTGAATAAGTGATTCAAGCAGCGAGTCCTAGTTTCAAGTATGGTGCGGATATACTGGAACGAGTTCAACGACGAGGGACTAAGATGTTTAAAGGCCTAAGACACCTCATCTTGTTTCCATTATCATACCGCAGAATACGGAGTGACCCAACACTGGATTATCGTATACTGAACGATGACCATGGTAATGATGTCTTATCTTTTCCTTCCGTCTAGAACTGATCATTTAAGAGGACATTCGAAGAAAGTTCAAAATCCAAGATCAAATCGTTTACGTCTGGAGTTTCATTTCTCAACTTACTGAAATCCTCTACTGGAACACGTAATATCGGCACATTCTGTTGATATATTCGAAACGAGATTGGACTTTTTCAGTGCCACATACTGCAAGGATTAATAAAGGTCGATAGACCTCCTATCCTTATTAATGATATTTAAAAGGCATGCCAATTTAAACATCTTGTACCTCCGCCGTTGGACCGTGGCGGGATACTTAAGGTCCGGACGGTTATGGTCAGGTATGGGCTTACTACTCAGGATAAGTTCTCACCGTCAAAAAGCTATAGTCGAGTATCATGTATGAAAAAGTCACCCATGAAAGGAAGGTGTCGAAGTTTGTCTGCTCTTGGTAATCGTACATACATGAAAATAATTTCTCGTAGCCCCCACAAAATTTACTGATGCTGGTCATTTTATCCCTCTAACAGCATGCTGTGTACAAGTAGAACCTTTGAGTTCACTTCCAGTTGAGTACGCTTCAGTAGTGACTAGGCCATGCTCAATAGTCTGCGAGGTAGCGTCTATTCTGAATGAAGAAGAGGATTTTCAAATACAAATGTAATTCTGCAGTAATATTCTCATTACGCTAATTTTCCTGAAGAAACACAGACGACCCTGTAAACATAGAATGTCACATATCTCTCCCTGTTCTACCAGCGTCTCTTCAGGACTATGCATCTCCTGAACCCAGCCTTGTACCTGACAGTATTCCTATGTAAGTCAAGCTAAATTTCCTTCTCATTTAACCCTAGGTTCACTAATATCACCGGGGGTCGGACTATTTGGTGAATTCCATTCAAGTATGTTCTCAGTAACCCCATTGATGAAAGTATAAACCTGATGATACCATGTCATTAGCAAATGCACTTGTCGGGTAACCAGCTCATTTTTGTTGATTCAAACTGTCTTGGTTAAAACGCAGTTAATATATGATCAGCAGCCACTTGATTCAAAATATTTATTCAGAAAAGCTCCCCTCACAGTCGGTCTAAATTTCCCAAAGAATTTCAGATGTATTTTAACGGTTTAACCAAAGCAGAGAAAGTAGGCTCATTTCTCGCCCAATATTTGCTCGAGTTTTGTTTTATTGTAGTCTAACTGGCTTAGTGTACCAGCAAAATCCTTTAGATCGTGAGTTTTATTTCATTGAAATATATAGATAAGGAATACAGTTTTCTGGTTCGCTATGGGAAAGTTCCCCCAGGGTACTGGAATGGCTTACATGGTACCATATATCTTTTCAGGGTTTTTCAAATAACCATTTTTGCGAGATCTGGTTTCAAGTTAGTGTTTTTCCAATGTTAACGTATATGTCCACACTGCTGATAGGTATTTTGAAGTAATGTAATCACTTTGTAAATCATTTCATTCCTTCTCATCTTGCATACGCATATGTTCATACCTGCTTGTATACTTATTTATCACCAGAGTTTAGATATAGTTCAAATTCAGTCGATGTAACTCATCTGCACTAGTTTTCTACTAGGTCTTGAGACTACCAATATCCCTTAGGTTGCATACATTACTTTGCTTCATATCCATTCGAGTCTTGTATTGATATATATATTACGGCTTCGTCGTTAATTTTCCCTTGATGTAAGCGTAAAAACGTAGTACATATTAGTGTTAGGTTACCGTGAATATTTCACCCTTGTTTTATTCTGGTCTGTATAAAGGTTAAACAGCTTTTGCGTTCCAATACTATTTGTTTTTTCCAGGTCGTAAATGGAACATGATAAACTAAGCTCTTGTCCGTTTGCTTGGAATAGACAAAATGATCTCTACTGATTATGTTTTTTCTTTGTGGTTTCACTGATAATATTTCGTGACTTTTCTGGTCGGTAAGAGTTTTGTAAATAAATACTTCGTGATAGTCATTAAATTGACGTTAGTTTTTTTATTTATTTGTGGTTAGATGTGCGCTGGATTCCTCGGTAAAGTTGGGTGAGATAAACCATTTAGTAGTTGTGATAGTACTACTACCATATGCTGCAAATTCGTCGACCTAATAATCAGTGTTCATTGATCCTTCTAATGGTTGTACCCAAGAGGGGATCAACTTCAAATTTCGTTAAGTAATGGTATTGGTTTGATAGTTAAAGCGATCAACTTTCTTCCACGAGTGTAAATCAAAAACTAATTAGCTTGTCGTTAGGTGAGGCAACGAAATTAACTAATCACAAAATAATACTTTTAATTTAAGAGTGAAATATGCATTCCGAAAATTCTGGTTGTTTTTCAAGATGTTATAGGATTGGCTGTTGCCAACATTTTTAAGAAACTGGGCCGTGTTGTCCGTATACTACCGATAGATAACATGACTTCCATGTTAAAAATTAGCTTAATAATAATCAACGAATGTTACTTTAAGTATCATAGTAACGTCGTCGCGGGAATTCATGCCTTCAGTAGATACTTTCGGTGTATTTGTTTTATCCGGGCTACACTTTAACCTTATTTGTCATCTTAGACAAAACTAGATCCAGTCAACGAGTAATCGAAGATAGTGGGTGGTCGTTTACCTATTTATTTTGTCGAAAAAGCAAACCTATTCCTTTATTATGTAATAATAAAGTGCCACCGATCGATTAGTTTGAGCTGATTGTCTGCCGAAATCCAAGGTGAATACACTAGGCTTAAGTAACTCAGTCAGTAACAACGTAGAACTTCGTACGTACGTACATCAGTTCGAGTTGCCACACCACCTTAGCACAGAGATGCAGTTGTCGATTCAAATCCCGTAGTGGTAGAGGTAGCAAGAGTATAAGCAGTAATCGGAAAGATTAGGGTTTGAAGATGCTATTCAAGGAGTATAATCCAGTGAAATAAATTTGGAAAGAGAAAAAAGGACATGAAGAATTCAGAAGATTAAAATTCGGGAAAACACAAAAAGTGTATGCTCCTGCGACATTGCAAAGGATTTTGAGCCATGTCACTCAGGGTCTCTAACCATCGGTTGCTATCATCTCGCGGTCCCCAACCAGGTAGTCTACACCTACCAATATGACCCAGTCTACTTGTCAGTGGCTTCATGAACTTATGCCATGTTTTGGTCTTGCCGCCCCTAGCTTTCTTCCAACCTACTTCTATACCACTGAACATCGCACAAAGAGACAGTCGGTCGTTGGGCATACGTACCACGTGTCCCAGTCATCTTAACTGGTGAAGTTTCACTACTTCATCAATCGATTTGCCATCCTTACCTAGTATCCGTCTCCTAACAACTGCATTGCTTACTCGATGGTCCCAGGATATACGAGCAATATTTCGAAGACACCTATGATCAAATACTAGTAACCTACGGACATCCTCTACTCTTACCGACCATGTTTCACTGCCATAAAGTAGGGCGGAACGAACTGCTGCGCAGCAAACACGTCCTTTAGTTGATAGACGGATATCTCGCCTACGCCACAAATGACGCAAGTTGGTAAAAGTTAGTCGAGCCTTCTGTATCCGTGGTGAGATTTCGTCACACACCAGACCACAAGGGCTGATGAGACTTCCAAGATAAGTGAAGCGGTCGACACGCCCAACTACTTCACTCCCTATCATTAGTTCTGGTGTCAATGCAACCCAATCTCGAAGCAGCATTTTGCATTTCGAGGGAGAGAATCGCATCCCGAACATACTTGCATTGTTGCTTTTAGTGGTCAGAAGACTGCATTTTGTCAGCGTCTTCACCAAATAGAACTATGTCATCGGCATATTCCAAGTCAACAAGTGAATCTCCTGGTAGGAGTTCAACCCTTGGAAATTTAGATGAGGAAAGTGTTATCTCTAAAAGTACGTCGACGACAAAGCTGAACAAGAATGGAGAGAGTGGGCAGCCCTGACGAACACCACCCGAGGAAATCGATTCTGGTGACAGTTCGCCATAAGCTCTCACTCGACCAGTTGTGTTCGAATAGAGAGCCTTTACAAGGTTAATGTACTTCTTTGGTACTCCTTTCAGTGACAAACACTGCCATAGAACCTCACGATCAACAGAGTCAAATGCTGCTTTAAGGTCGAGAAATACTACGATTGTGGGGCGTCTGAATGTGTGTCTGTGTTCTAGAACCTGACGTAGTGTGGATATCTGATCTATACAACGACGTCCAGGTCGAAAACCAGCCTGGTTTTCTCTAGTCTGCTCTTCACGAACTTTGGTTAGGCGTCGAAGTATTATTGAAGCTAATATTTTAGACGCTACATTAGTCAAACTGATTCCTCTGTGATTGTCGTAAGAGGACTTTTGTCCTTTCTTATAGACTGGCACAATCAGCGATTGAGACCAGTCAGATGGGATTACGTCCAGTTCCCAAATTCTACCTAAGACCTCAGTTAATCTCACTGCTAATACTGGACCAGCATCCTCAAAAATCTCAGGAGTAAAACTGTCAGGGCCTGCTGCTCTCCCTCGCCTCAGATTTCCTATGGCTTTTTCAACTTCATAAAGAGTCGGAGGACCTACATTAACTTGCCATTCAGGTAGACTGGATATCGTAGGGAACCGAAATGCGGCTGAAGGCCAGTTGAACTAATCCCTAAAGTGTTCTATCCATCAATCCAATCTCCTAGATTGAGAATGTATAATACGTCCATCTTTCTCAGAGTGTTTCGCTAACAGTCGGTTTCCTGATACCGGTTTCCTTAACAAGTCTGAACAGTTGTCTGCTGTTGCCACTGCCTTTTCCATCTCTCTTGCTATCGCTACCAACCACTGTTCGCGATCATTGCGTAGGCTTTATATCATTCAGTGCTTAAGCTGACTCCACTCTTCGTTATATTCAGAGCCAGATGGAATGAGTTTCCGAGCATCTATCAATGCGGTAGATGCTGCTGAGATCCAGTGTTGCTCCCTAACCTTGTGGTTTACCGTACTAGCAGATATCACTGCTGTTTCCACAGCTTTTCGGGTGTCATTCCACGCTGCCTTGGGGTGGGCATCACATACATGGCTGCCTAACTTTTTCTAGTTGTTCCTGAAATATACTCTTAGCTTGACTATTATTAAGTAAGACCCTAAGAGGTTTCCTTGCATCATCTTTCCTACGTCCAGTAAGACGCAGAAAAATACGCGCTCGCACTAGAGTATGATCTGAGTCTAAGCATGTGCTCCAGAATGAGCGACAGTCTTCTATCGAGCCCCTCCATCGATGGCTGATAGCAATGTGATCTATTTGGGTTCAACATTGGGACGAATTCGGGGGTCGCCATGTCAAAACATGTTTTTCCTTATGCTTAAAGTTAGTGTTTGCAAGAAACAGGCGGTTATCTGAGCATAGCTGCAACAGACGGTCGCCATTATCTGTTCTTTGAGCCACGACACCATAAGATCCACCTAGGTGTCTTTCCCTATCGCCTGGTTTACCTACTTGAGCATCAAAGTCACCGGCCACTATTACTACATCAGAGCGCCTAGCTTTTCAGAGAAGGTCGGGAAGCTTTCTGTAAAACTCATCTTTTACATCGTCTGAGCTGCAGTCAGTGGGAGAATAGGCAGAGACGACGAGTGTCCCTATCTTTCCGGATCCTTACTGTTCCGTTTAGTCGGACAGCGCACAAACGACTGTCTACTGGGATCCACTCTATGAGAGCTAGTTCTGCCCTAGGACTCAATGCTATACCTACGCCGGCGAGGCCACGGGAAGCAGAATCAGGGCTTCCAGATACATGAAGCGTAAATCGAGTCGGTTCTTTATTTTGGCATGGTGAGGTCAAATGAATGATTCTACTTGAATCCTGTATGTGCGTTTCGGAGATGCAGCACACATCGACGGCGCGAGATTCTGAAGTCCTAGCTAAGGAAGCCTGTTGTCCTATTTGGCACAGTGTTTGGACGTTGAAAGCTCCTACGTGTAGTTTAGAGCGTGGTTTCAGGAGACCAGGAATAACGTTCCACGTACTTGAATCGTTTGCCCTGGCGGTGCGAGATGATAAAGGGACGTGAGGAGGCTTAGTCATGGAGATAAGAGAGTTATTAGGAGGTGTAGGAAGGATTTGAATGTGACCAACTTGGTCTCGTGTGCTGTTACAGGTATGAGGGCTGATATCACTTCCCGGCTGCCCACATCGTGGAAGGGTATTTCTTGAGGAACCTGAAAAGGAAACTGGATTAGTGTTGGTCTTAACGACCTGGGAGCGTGACCTCAGAGCCCAAGGGATAACTGCTTGGGGCCGGTCGCGCACGGCCTTTTCGTGGCAGGTTCTTAATGTGTTAGCTCCGTTCTTCAAAGGGCCTTACCGCCGGATATGGATATCCGTGAGGTAAGGTGAGGTGTGACATTTTTAGGGTTGACCTTTTCTAACCCCTTCCTTCCTTGTGAGGAGGCAGCATCGCTGCAGATGCTGGTTGTCTGGAGGAAACGCCTTACTGCTGTCACACGTCTGTACAGTCAGCGGTACGACTTCGCCCTCAGACCTTGAGTTGCTGCTTTTAGTCTTACCGTTCTTCAATCGACCTGCCCGGCATGGTAGAACCTACAGGAACATATGTTCCAGCCAATATAGCTCGGTTGGGTCATCACGATAGGCAAGCCCGACCACCGCGTCAAGGTAGCAGCTACGGTCGGGAGGCTTAAGTGACTAAGCACTAATAAAAAATATGTGGAATGAATACGAAAGTCAAACTGAAATAAGGGCATTGTAGGTCATACAACACTCCGTTTTATGAACTTAAGATGATAATTTTGGTAAAAAAAGGTACGTTTACGTCGTCCAGCAAAATCATAACTACTGCCATTGTGATAAAATGTAGGAAGTAATGTTGTAATATATGTATCCTTCATAATCATGGTCAATTCGAAGTGGGATATCCATACCGTCTCAACGTTTGAGGCGAAGTTAACCGCAGGCATTCCTTGGTTAAAATATGACTAGTTGTATCTCTCTAAT